AATTTTTTGTACAGTGCCTAGTTTAGCTGCAGTGACATAGATTAAGCTAGAAGTATTGCTTCCAAACCCATGAGGAGCACTTTGTAGGAATAACAGCGATCAGGAACACCTGGATCCACAGAAGACAAAAAGGTTAAGTGTCAACAATGAAAAAAATACTTATTCAATATTGACCAAACATGGAACCCATCCAACATAGAATTTGGATTCTAAGCCTTACCTGTTTCCACTTTCTCAATGATCTTACAGTAAATCCCTGACTTCTGTACTTGTTTTGTATGGTAGCCTTCTATTAGGAGACTCTGCTTTTGTGCATGGCACAGGCGGCAGCGTGGCGGACGCCGTTCTTCAGCAGCCTCCCCCCACACCGGGCACGCCGCGGCACCTGACTCGTACGCGTCCTTAAGAGTGGGAATGAGCAGCCAGCTAACATCAAGGGACTTTGACATAAAGCAAAACCTTATGCCAAGATCTATTCCAACAGAACTCACACTGTTCTCCTCCTCACCTTCTCTATTTTACTTCATGAAGTTTGGATCAATCAGTTGCATACCAATCAGATGGTTAAGTGGACAACCGCAATTTCCAGCATCTGTGATCAAAGACCAATGCTGGATTGAGTGTCATATGCCATATCTAGACACTTGAGAAAGGATACCATTAAAAAAAAAAAAGTAGTAAAGGAAGGCACTAAAACCAGATGCAGCTGTACTTTCTTAACACGAAAGGAAATTGTGTCTGCTTATCAAATTCAGAAAGTAAGCCTACGTAGAGCAACACAGAGGGGAGCCAGAAGCTGTTAGTGACAGATGCAATTCTCAACTGTCCTTCAAGCAGGCATGCTGCATTTTCTTTAGTGAACAAATGCAATTTGCATTAGCCTCCAGTATGAAATCAGAAAAAAAAAAAAAAACTCTGAAAAATATTAACCCTAAATAAAATTGGATCTTACTCTTTTAGCAGGCTAATAGAGGTCTAGAAATAAAAGGGAACACTGGAAGATTTTAGGAGGTGCTGAAACATTTGTTTTGAAATTTTATTACAAAAATATATTTCCAAACATACAAAATCTTGGATGAAAAAATGCTCATTAAACATTTATGCAATAACTTAACTGCAAACATACATAGGTGCTATAAAATCCGTATCATACCAAAAACGTTAATGATGCAGTATCTACATTTATTGACTTACAATGACTCTCATTCCGGTTTCCAGAAATCTTTCCTGAAGCCCCTCTTCCCCATGGTCTTCAGATTAAAAGAACATGCAAACGGGTACAACTGGTGCATCCACAAAAGTGATAAAACTCAGAAATTACTAAAAGCACATAATGTACATAAAAAAACCACTTAACTAACCATATGCCCATACACTGAATAGATAAAAATAAATACACCACCAAATTAGATACTGCAGTTTTTCCAACTCAAAGTGAAAGGAAGATATTGCATCTTAACATTTTTGTAACGTTGCCAGACAAAACTGAGGTGATATATATTGCACGCGTTCCTCCTCTTAAGATACACTGTACACAGCAACCCAAATACCTGGCAAAAAGGTGGCCGATTTGTTTAGAATACTCTTATGAAGAAGTCCCAAATTACAGTTTGTTTTAAAAAATATTTCAGAAATTGTATCAGTGACTACACATGGCATAATGGGTTTCAAAAATACACCCAAATGAAGCAATTACAAATGCAAGCAAAAATTAGATACATCCAGCAGCATTTAAATATTATATTGGGTATTTATACACAGAATTAAACATTTTATATGAAATCCAGATGAATCACTTAAAATTTAACTTCAATCATTCTGCAAATCTTGTTTGATTTGGAAAGATACACTGCTTCTAAGATAATAGCTGTTAGGCACCTTTCATATAAACTTTGCATTATTAAATAACAGCAGAGAAAGTCTAACTACAAAATGGAGAATTTTGATTTTCCTGAACAAATCAGCAGCTGTAGGTTTTAAAATTGTCTTTTATTAGGTTCCTGTTTGGTTGAGGTTTTTGTTTGTTTGATATGGTTTTGTTTGTTTTTAAAGTGACATGGCTAGCCACAAAACACATGCTTAGATAATGCAATTAATTTGGGGGAGTACAGTCTAAACTAATAATCTTTTAACTCTCAGAACTAATAGGTAAAATTGCATTGTCAGTATTTTCACCAAAAAAAAAAAAAAAGTCACTTGAAAATGGTCACAATAATTTCCTGTGATGACCCCTGGTAACTTGCTACACACTAGTTATCCTTACATGTGGGTAACAGAAACAAGCACTTTACAAGCTGGTAATTTCAGATTTACACAAAAAGTTGAGATAATTATGAAAAAAGTCATTAAATAACACAATCCACATTTTAAAAAATACAACTCCAATTTTACACTGTAGTTGAGCTTGTGTTTTACAATGCAACTTTTCATTACACAGGTTTATCTGTTAAACCCGCCATCCTGGCACTTGCCACCATGCCTGTGGTGTACGGGATGACACTTAGATTGGTTCTGGTGGCTGTTGGCTATGTGTAGAGAGGTCAGGACAAATGTGCAGATGTTCCAGATTAAAACATTCACTTCTTTTTAAAATGCCTGCCCAGTAGCTATGATTTCAACTCCATTTCTCTTCCCAATCATGTTGAAAGCTGAGGGTAGAGGGGAATAAACCAATAATGTATTGCTATTAGTACACTACAAAACCAAAGTAAGGATCTGCCAACTGCTTCTGTGGGTTCCTGGGCAGCTGGAAACAAGTTAAGGACACTCAAAGTAGAGTCAAACTCTCAGAACAGCATTGCTACTCTGAACAGCAGCACTTTTGTCAGCTGTATATAACTAAAGAACTCAGAATTCAATTCCTTCCTATCATTTCTTTAAATCTTTGGATGTGACTGTATTTAGCAAACAGTACAAACATGCATTATCAGCTTCCAATATTTCTATTCTTGGAAACTTTTATCACATCTTACTTTGAAGAAACTGGAAGCTGTCCGTAAGAAATGAGAAATTAGAGACTTCTAAATCCAGATAAAAAGCAACTCTCTATTTGGTTTAGGCTATCCATTTTTGTTCAGAGAAACTGCTTATTGGTTTGTCCCTTTTAGTGAAACTTTTTCAAAAAAACTCAACAAAACAAAATTAGTTTAGACCTTAGATCTGAGTCTCATTGTTTATGTGCTTACACAGTATTAAAACTCTAGAATTTATGTAGGAAGCTCCTACCTTCCTCAACAAGGCTGAGTTACTATTGCTGAATTCAAATGCTACCATTAAAGCCAATATATTTCTTGATGAATGTGCACAACATTAGCATCTTTCCCTGAATCTTGAACATTTTTGTAACAAAATACTATGTATTTTAACTGGGGAAACTGAACTCAAAGGCTGAGAAGAGCTTTTCAGAAGGCAGGTAATGCTAAACAAAATAGATTTTCCCCTAAAAAAAAGCTATGAAAAAAAATAAAACAGATCAAATACAACAAATATTTACATTTTTATGTATCTATAACATACCAATTTGTGATTAAGTCACAATTAAAGCTCAATTACTCGTTTCCAATAAAATGACTGTGCACCTTGACGACGTCAACATGAACTAATCCTCAGGATATATATATACACATACATATATGTTGTAAGGAGCCAAATATTTTTTTTCTTCATATTTCAATAGTGCTTGAGGGAAAATAAAGAAGCAGTGCATCATTATTCACTTCAGGTTATCTTTTTACTCAATAAACCCAAACTTTTCTACTGGAAAAGCATCCTTTAAAACTACTATTGTTGGAGAAAGTTGGGACCTGAAGTCTTATTCATTAGCTTTGCACACCTTCGCAAAATAAATACAAGCCATGGGTAAACCAACACTAGAGCATAAGAAACTAGAATTAGAAATTTTCTAATTTCAAAGGGGAAAGCATCCAGTTAAATTGTGATTTAGTAATTCAATATTCAATAATTAACATAAGAAGTGATAACACTTTAGATAGAATTTAGACTATGAAGTGTGCACAAACAATCTGGGGAGAGGAGGACAGAAGAAAAGCACACATTTGTTCCCCATCTGCATAGTTTTTGACATGGCAGTTCCAATGCAACTGAAGAATGAAAGCCAACTTTCATTCAAATGACATGGTCCATTCTTAAGCTAAAAGGGAAACAAAGTGTTTAAACTATATCAGACACTGCTGAACAGGTAGAGGGTCTTTCAGTGGTGGTCTCCTAACTACAAATTTAAAACAACAGAACTTCAGTATGCAACAAAACTAGTCTGTTGCTTAAAAAAAAAAAAATTAAATTATGACCACTGAAGATTTTGCATATTTCGGATTTTGCCTTTTTAGAGAAAACTGTCTTACTTCGAACCTGTTTATGCCAGCAATGCAGCAGTAAATAAGATTAATGGAATATTTAAAAGAGCAGTTTATGTGTATAAAGCTGAAGACTGTCAATGTATTGAGCAAATCACACTTTTAAACCTTTTGTTAAAAGACTTGGCTCCAAAGACCTGGCTTCCAGATCCATTCCTTCCCCACTCTTGCCCATTTCATCACAAGGCATTCTGATCTCCTTTTCCTCAGTCCTTCAAACTGGAACTAGGTTCGCACAATTAAATCTGGTTCTGGTGTGGTGTAGTGTACTGTACTATGGATTTGCTGGTTTAAACAGTATTGAGTCTGAAACTCCTTGAACAGTGAATACAGCTAGGAATGAAAGCCAGAGCAAACATTTGCACATTCGCTTAATGCTAGTGAGAGCCCATATGCGACATAAGTCCTCTCCCCGGTAAAAACAAAGGTTTGCTGGTGATGATCACAGTGAAAACCTAGATCACGTCTGAGAACATTACTTGCCTAAGCATTTAAGGAATAGTCTTTCCTGACAGATTCAAATTCAAGGCCTTGAAAACTAAATATTCTTTTGCAAAAAATATTAGTTTTATAGATGAGGCATAATTGTTTCTAAAATGGATCTATTTTAAGTAGATTGAGCTTCAATTATAGCTTAATGTTGTCAGTGTTCTTGGTTAGGACTTGCAAGTAGACTTCATGAATAGTGCTGAGAAAACGAGAATCATTCTGCAGGAAAAAAACAAACACCACATTAGAAACATTAGTCAAAAGGTGCAAAAAAAAAAAAATTAATTTAATGCCATTTAAGTTGTGCATAAGGATTCCTTACAATACTAGCTATCTGAGAGTTAAAGGAATTGAATTAGCTGTGCACTTCTACAAAAGGCAATGCCTTCGGGACAGTACACAGACTTTATACCATGAAGCTGGTTTAGACACAGAATTCTATCCTGTGTACAAGCTCCCAAATAAAGTCTGCATGAGTATCAGAAGTAATGTTATTTCTGTCAGACCAGCCTGTAAGGGACTGTAGTGTTTTACACAAGAATTCTCATGTCAAAGCACGACTGAGCAATTCATTAAGTTTAATCTATAGATAATATTTAGAAATATTTCTGGAGTCTAATACCTTCAAATGACAAGTTTACAAAACTGGCATCTAATCAGTTAGCTTGAAGATGTAATACTCTTTTTACAAGATATGCACAGCAAATTTGGTATCCTGCTTGGACTGGTGTGCAACATCACATATTTAATTAAACCGAACATTTTAGTTTCTAGAAATAGCAGACCTAGAACTTTTCATTTTCCGTTTCAAAGACACATACTTCAGTTAAAGATCAGAGACAGTTCTAGGGAACTAGAAACATGAAAGCTTCCCTTAGGAAAGCAGAAACAGTTACAAAAGACAAGAAGCCCCCCTCCCCATGCCAGGGCTTCTACCAGTGGAACTTTTCCTCCCTTGTCCACAAATTCACATGGATATGAAAGGACACATCTGATGTACAGCTCTGTCCCTCTAAGTCCTCCATCTTGCAATCAAAAGAAGCAAGCTATGCACCCTGTAAGCAAAGTGTGGAAGAAATCTAGCCCTTCCAATAGAAGAAGAATGTTTGTAATGTTTCAGGGCAAAAAGAGTTATAGGGGTACAGAAGTTCTCACTACTGGTTACTGTGCTTAGGAATTGAGCTCTGTAAAGCCAGGACCTTTATTAGATGTATCAGTGCTTCCTGAAGCTGAGACCTACTGAGAACAGTAGGAGGTATAGTCTGGATTTCTGTTGTTCCAAGTGTTAAAGGCGAAGAAGAATTGGCTTTACTCTCCACTTCAGCTGCTTTTGTAGCCGACTGCTGAAAAACACTAGGAGACAAGAGGACTGAAGGTGTTACTGTAGTTGTGGCTGTAACAAAGTGCGGGGGCGCAACCTGGAACAGAACAGCAGATCAGTAAGCGCAGTGTCCAGGAAGAATGGATGCCATTACAAAGGCTGCAGAGATGAGCATCAAAATAAAGTAGCTACTATTATTCAGACAGATATTACAGAATAGCTGCTCTTAATGAAGAAGTATCTACCTACGAAGATTAATATCAACAGTAACTCTGATTTTAAAAGCTGAAGAAGCTAACAGTCTTCAATATTCTTGTATGCAACTTGTCGCCAACTTCCCGTATTTTTGAAACGTAACACAGAATAAAAAATGAGCTTTTCACCTACATAATCAAAGGAGCCCGCAGTTATTTCTCAAATTATTTTAACTAGGAGTATAGAGAAAGGCTGGTCCTGCTAGGACATTTTCTCTTGGAAGAAGTGAGAATGGAAGTATTTTGAGGACTGTGTTCCCATCTCATTCTTCCACAGCACAGTGTCTATTTCATTACAGAAATCCAAACACTGCCTTAACCACTTTTCCTTTTAAACATAAGCTGCAAATGTATAGGAATATTATATTTGCATAAAGTGGACATGAATAAACATCAGCTTTGAGCAACTCTGACATCTCCTGCTAACTGCAATTATTCCAGTATGAGAATCTATATCTTCCTCATGTTCCAGAATAAACAACAAGAAAGAAGAAGAAAATTAACAAGCCGATCTCCCGCAAAAAAAAGCAAGACTAAATGTGATATGTAAAGTTGTTTGATATGTCAGTAGAAAGAGTTCCCCTTGGATAATCAAAAAACTTGTGAATAAAAAAAACCCTGCAAATCCATGTAACAACAACAGTAGAACTTGCAAATTGATTCTGTTATACTCAAAACTGTGAGGACTTACAGTGTGAGATTTCAGATCAAGACAACAAGTTTAAACCAACAAATGCAGTTTACCACACAACATGCACATGTTTCTTAGAACTCCAAAATCCATGTAAAATGCTTTTATTTAGGTGACTATTTACTGTGTTATGAGTAGAGTGTATAGCTCATCTTAGAGCAGGCTGGTAGCTAAAATAGCATTTAACTTTTAGCAGGACCATTTTTATTGCCTTTACAATCAGATCCGAGCATACTGCTAGAACTGCTTTTATGTAGTGCAAGGTGGACAAAAATAAGGCAATACAATAGATATGAAAAAGAAGGGGGCAGGTAACAATTCCTGAAGACCTGACTACTAGTAGTTGGGTTTTTTTTTAACTGCAATCTGAAATTTTAAATTGACATTCTTTTGAACTGTTACTCAACAGCAGTTCTAATAATGTTGAATCTGTATTTATATCAATAAAATTTGTTATCAGATGACAGATGCTTGTTATCCTTTTCTTCCTCTATCTTCCATTCTTTCTCCTAGGTATCTTTTTTGTAAAAGATGAGGTGTCTCAGGAAAACTGAACGACACAGTGAGGCATGGATTGCATTTTATCCTTTGGGGTGCTGAAGGTTGGCTAATAAACCCTAGTGCAATATTACAGCATTAGTACTGCTTGCTTAAAAGATAAAAAAACAGTTCAAATGCTGCTAACTCATGGCAAGATTGCAGATGCAAAAAACATTCTCATTTCTGCATTAGCACCACCAACAAGAAACACTGCACACCAAAGTCTACTCAATCCTAACAGCCTGGAGAAACTCACCCTTGCTTTGGTACAGCTTCTTTCTGCTTCATCGCAGCGCTTTGAATATGGGCAGTGGTTAATGACTATTTGAGATACCAACTGCTTCCCATAGTCTTAACACCACCCCCCTTTTTAAATCAAACCAGTAAACAATTAGCAGAGTCACTTATTCACTTACTTGACTTGCTTTAGACAAAGTCTTCGGTTGTGGAAATACTTCTGTTTCCTTGTTTTGTTGTACAGTCTATGTTAAAAAGAAAGCAAATTTCACAAGTTAGCATCCACAATTCAATTTCCAGTGGTGGTTCTCTGTTTATGGAAGCAAAAAAAAAAAATGTAAATTTCAACAGATTTTAGATGCAATTCAATGCATTTTGTAAAACTGATATAATCGTTAGGAAGTTGGAAAAAGAAGAAAGATTTGAGTTTCTATTTTATGCTTTCAATGTTACAGCAAACCTGTAAAGCCATAACAAAGTGCTTCTGAACAAAGACCATTGCAGTTAAAAATCTGAACATTAAAACACTGAAACTGGGAACAAAAAGCATGTTACAAAGTAAAGAGTTCAGTATCTTGTAATCAGTTTTGATAATTGCCAGGAAGGTTAAATTCAGTATTTTTTTCTATGAGTTTTGTTTAATCATGTCCACCAAAATTAAACATTGTTTTCTGCTAGAATTTGAGAGGTATTTTATACCTTTACAAACAGCATCCAGATATTTCTTTAGTCAGATTTCAAAACTATAATGTAATAAAATTCAAGTATTATAAAATACTAAAAAATACAACAAAAGGCACATAAATAAGGTACTTCAGCAAATTCCTGTGGCATTCTTCAAAAGGCTTGTTAGAGCCATTTGGAACACCGCTTGGCAACACAGAACAGGAAAAAATCCCCTCACATCAGGCAGTACTTAGCTTACTTGGATTACAGTGAAAAATACTCAGGGAATTGATAGCCCTTAATGACAAAGCTAAAATAAGCTTTATGAAGTGGTAACAAGTGCAAGATCAAATTCTTAAAGTTTAATTACAGAAGAGTTAAGTTATTTGCTAGTTTGAGAGTATATCTGGACTACTGAGAATTGTGTCTAATGAAAACACGGTGGACAGGGTGGAAGGAAAAAAGGGTGTAAGTTTGACATATGAAGAGCTAATTCCTAAGGCTATCAAACAGACAAGGACAGCTATGGATAACCCAGCCAGCTTTTCTAAGTGCTCAAAAATGTCACAATCTTCAGGCATATCTATACCAAGGTTTAGGAGTACCTGAAAGAAAAATACTGCTCAGAATGTACAGTTCGTCAATACTAGATCAAGACAGCTGCTCAATGCTGTACTTGGACATTCTCCTCCCTCTACAAAACAAATAATCCAGACATCTTAACAACATGGTCGCTAGTAAGATAACCCTAGCATGTGGCAGTCACAGCCTTCTGGAAAATTTCTGCAACAGCAGATTAGAAATAAAGTATTTAGAAAGACTGCAAAAAAACCCACACCCTTTTCTTAAACATTAAGACATGGACATCTCTTTTGAGGACAGGAAAGTAACACTTGAAAAAAAAAAAAAACCAGGGTATTCTAAAATAATGCTTAGGAGAAGTTCCAGGCTTAAAAATTCAACTTTTGATTTGACCTCCGAGTAAGTCATCCACCACTTTCACAGCAAAGGGTAACAGCTGACTCAGACAGGGCTACCAAAGATCTTGCTAAAACCCAGTGGCAAGCACTGGATGATAAGCATTTGGAAATTCATGCAGATGTAGCTGTACGGAATCTTGTTGGGTGTTTTTTTTTCTTGCATTATCACTGCACCCAAGATGCAAGAAGACATAAGGAAACACTGGCTTAAGTCTGCATGAATGCAAATAAAATTAATGAGAATGCAATAAAACCAACAGAAGCCTTTGGATAACCACAGAGGTGGGCACTACAGAAAGTTATACCCTTTGGACAAAAAAGAAAGAAAAAAAACACCCAAAAAACCAGCCAAAACTCATTAATGTCTTTACTGCTGATGCAGACAATTATATGGCAGAGCAACACTAACTGATAGAAAATAACTTATAACCAAAAGCCATACACATTAACCTTACAGACCAGCAGTAACCTTTTCACCTAGTCTCTTAAAACAAATTTACTGGTTTAGCTTATATTAAGGCACAGATAATAGCTTCTTCTCCAAGAAATTAAAATGTTAAGAGGTCCTTTGTAAGCAATACTAGGATAAAACAAACCAAGGCGGTCAATTAGACAAAATAAATCTGTTTACGATCCATTTTACTAAATAAGTAACAATAACTCAATGTAGCCCACGGGTGTCCCCAGCAGAAGGGGTCAAAATCGAAGGAGTACAAAGCATCCAAAGCAAAGTAATCAGAATGAGAAAACTTGTCCATTTTGTACCTTCAAAACAGGCACAGGCTAGACTTCAACAGCATAGACTCTAGTAACACCGTCCCTTCTCAGATCATCAGTTCCTAGCAGTATTTTTCTCACACAAGTACAGATTAATTCTTTAGAATTTACTCATCTCCTAACAGTACCAGCTTGAAAAACCCCCTCTACAGAGAGGTCTGTCACCAACAGCAGATGCTAATGATATAAAACTAATGGAATTTGATTTCTAAGTTAACAATTCAATCAATATCACAGCCTGGAAATCCTTAATTAGTTTTAAAAGGCTAATATGTAACAGCACATTTTCCAAGGCAAAATACACATAGTCTAAAACAGTCTAAATCTTCACAGATACAAAACCCCACAGAATACCTGAAGGGGAGAGATAATCTTGCTGTTCAAGGTCAATGGTTTACTGTGAGATTCTTTGAAGCTTTCTGGTGTTGCAAGTTGGCCAACCGAGGCAGAGATGTTTGGGGTTAAGGAAGTCTTAGTGAGAGACTGCTGTTGCATTTGGTCATGCTGTGGGGTCAACCTGAGTTTCTGGAGAAGATCAACACTTGTATGGGATGTATTTGAGACAGTTCCTGTATTTGCTGATGTCAAGGGTGCAGCCATTAGGTTTTGTGGAGCGTGGTTCACTTCGGATGGCAGCTGATTTGCTAGTGGGGATATCTGCTTGGCAGCTTGCTGCATAACTTGCATTATACTGTTGTTTTGTTTTAGGCCGGGAAGCATCTGAGCAGGGGCAGCTTCCACTGTCGAGGCTGAATTGAGAACAGGGCTTAAACAAACTGAATAGCTTGAAACATTTTTTATATCAGGCTGGGAAACTGAACCTGGAGGTATTTGCTGATTCAAAGGATTTGCACTAGTTTTAACGCTGGCACTCTCCGGTTTCCCCAGTGCTTGCTGTATTGCTGTGGACTGGTCAAAGGGAAAAGGCAAGAGCAAAGCATGCTGCTCCCTGGCAGAGGCGTCCGGCTGCAGCTTCTCCATTCTCTCTGGATTGGGGTACAGAGCTGTGGGCTGCTCCTTTGGTACAGAGGTTCCAAACAGTTCCTCCAAAGTCAGATGCTTCTGCCTTGACTGAAATTGCTAGAAAGAAGGGAAAAGGAAGTGTTCAGTTTAGAAATATACAATACCACTGTGCATCTCACAACATCTATTTCAATTTCAAGAAAACCGTTAGGGACAACTAGGTCAAACGCATTTACAACAGTTTGGATATTGAGTGTGCCCTGTTGACAGGAATTTTGAAATAAATTTCATTTACAAGGAACATCCTTTCTATGTAAGCTTTTTCTCCGTGCACTAGTAGTAAAGAAGGTTGAAGGCTGTGCATTCTGGCATTAAGATGGCCAGGCACTAACACCTGCCATCCTCAATTAGCCCCAACTACACAAAGCACTTTGGCAGTGGTGGGGAAGAACATACACACCCAACAAAATCCATATAGAATTTATAAATTTGGAAATAATTAAATGGCCTAAAAGATGGGAAAGGAGCAGAGAAACCTGAAGGTACACAACTGGTCTAGCAACACATGCCTAGACAGTTCTTCTCACCTCTTTCATTAGCAACACAATATAATTCACAGTACATAAAAGAATATGTATAAACCTAAACATGTGCATATATATAATACATATAATATATACATATATAATCTCCTTGAAAAGTGCATCCTATGGTCTCCTCCAAAAATATGCATCTAGTCTAGAGCACTGATATTGTTCTAAAAATCTGATTTTAAGGATGTCACCTTATTAGTATTTTGCTGAAAACATTTAAAAATGTGTTTCACTAAAGAGAAAAGAAACAGCTGTTAACACCTTTATTCATTATTATTAAATGATATATTAATTTATTACAATTATATGTTAAATATAAAAGAGATAGAATTTACTATAATTATATATTAAATAGAAATATTAATTCTATATTTAATTTTTTTAGGCCTGCTCAGAACCAGAAGTTATGTAAAACAGCTGGACTAAAATACAACATTCTGTTCAGAAGACTGAATGGCCTGCAGCACAACTCCACCGTATTCTGATGGTATGTCTAAACAAAGATGCTATTTTACAGTGACAACTACTGTACCACGACATTGCTATGCTAGCTCTAACTACCAGCAGAGATAACAGCAGTGAAGGTGTGGCAGTACAGGTAGCAGGCAAGTAGACCAACAAAAAAACCCTCGAGCCTGAAACCATATTGAGTTCTGCCCAGGTTACTAATTTCTACTGCCATTGTGGTTACCCATTCTTCACTAGCTTGAAGTCAACTTGATTTTGCAGATGAGACATTCTGTAGTTCATAAACTTCATTAATTATGTTAGGAATTCTTTCAAGAAAGTTGTTCTTATGTTTCTTCACTGATCTTACTGTTCTGGAGACTTCAACAAGAGAAAAATCACGATTCCATCTCACTTCAGTATGATACATTGACTAGCTTTCCTTTATTAATGCATTAAAATGTTCAAGTAATAAACAGAAATCTACCATGCTCTGACCCAAGTCAGACTAGCCCTTTAACTTCATGTTTGCAACTGCATCCGCATAGTTTCCAGCCTGAAGTATGAAATTCATCTTTTGCATGTCCCATGTCTGGCTGAGGCATATTTTGAGTGTATCATCAACTCAGTGTGTTATCAAAACCTGTATCAGCAGGGGCTGCAAAAAGGCAACGTGATCACTTCACTTGATAGGAACAGAGTGCTGCTCAGGGGGCTTCTTCAGAAATAATTTCAGATACAATGAAACATGAATTAGCAGTCAGAGCTGGCATATAAAGTTCAATTGCAGTGTTCTGGTTCAGTTTTGCTAATTGCTGGCACAAAAGCATTTCATGATACAACCAATTGTCATTTTGAACTACCAAGATAAAAAAATTTGAACTTTAGAATATACACAGAAGACATTCACTTTTACTCCCAAAACTGTGATATCTTTAGCATGACATGAAATTACTTAATCAACATACAAGTGTGACATTTTGGGGGAGGTTTCGGAATTTCACCTCATTTATCACCATTTCTTAATTTCATTGGTCACCTGTTTCACTGGATGAAAAATTTATTTTTACAGTTGAAATGGAATGTTTTTCCAGTAGTCTTCCCGTTGTCCACATTATTAACACAATTATTACAAACAAACACATTTGTGATATGTTTAAACCTAGTAAACTGGCCTTAGAGAATTCTAATCACTTATGTTACCTAGTTATTTTTTTTCCAGCATTTCTGCAGCTGTTATTTTAAATAGCTCAAAAGAATTAAACATTTCACCTGTTTTATAGATCAGTTGATTCTCTTTAATTACTTCAGAACAATTTGCTAGAATCTTATCTTTCCAGTTTCTCCTTTACTAGTTATTTGATTTCTGTTCTTCAATCCCACGTGCTGTCAGGTGGGGCACTTCAGGCTTGTCTAGTCTACATGGAGTGACCCAAAAGAAAAGATCTTTTAAAGCAAGGCCTCAGGCAACCCTGCTGCCAGATCTCCACAGCAGATGTGCCACAAGCAGAGCTGGCTGCCAGCAGTCAGCCCATCATGTGTGCTGAGCCAAAAGCAGAGGTGCTGCTGGGTGGGTAGCAGGGACTGTGGCAGCCAAGAATCCCAGAGAAATCCCCACCCCTTGTTTTAGTTCATAAGCTG